TAACTATGCCCAGGAAGTTAAAGGAAAACATGGACATAGAGAAGCTATGAGAAAGAGTCAAATGGAACATGTAGACATGAAAACACACACATCAGAAATAAAGCTGACATAATTCCACTCCCACCTTTCACTAACACAACACACTCTTCCTCAAAAATCCCTGTAAGATCAATGGTTTGCTCTGCTTGACAAGACTCCTCCCTTACTTAGGTAAGAAATCAATTCAAATTTGGGGTTTTATACTGATTTTGAGTGGTGGTTTCATATTTTGACAAGTATGAGGTTCCACCAAGGTTATTTTGATGACTCTAACTTAAAAATAAATAAAGGTGTGCTCACCAGGTCCCTTTGGGTCCAGATTTCATTTATCCTTTGGATTTGTTCCAAGTATTTTTGTCTCAATATTGATCTGTACTCTGACTCTCAGTGAGCATGTATTGTTGAGTTTATTTTCTTAAATGAGGATTCCTATCAAAATAGTTCTTTGTAGATGGCATTGTCAATATTTTGGCCATTAATTTCATTATTCTTCAAGTGTGTGCTTGTTTTGCTTTAGTGCATCTATTAGTACAAGGTCTTGGCTCAGGACTTTTTTTTTTTCTGTTGCTTTGTCTTTCATAGTCATTTTATTTCTTGGATATATAAGGTGGTTCTACATAGGGAATAAACAAAGGAATAAGTCCATTCAGTTTCCAATTCAATCCATGTTGAGTCCAAGGACTATGAATTAGAGGTCCAGTAGACAGTGAAAAATTCATGATCAAACTTTGTCTTTTGTCCCCTAAACACCTTCATAGGGATACTTCCTCTTTTACTAATTAATGAAAGGCCATTTTGTTTAGTTCACATGCCAGGGTAAAAAACTGTCATGCCATTCATTGTATAGTCCCTTCTTAGCCCCAGTTGGTCAGGTAACCCAAGATGCTATTCTTTAGCATATATTTTTATTTGACTAGAATGGCTTCTTTCTTGTTTGTCATGAATGTTTCTAAATTAAAGTCATAACTTCTTACTGGCAGAACTACTTTTTATATGAATTCTCACTAAAATACTAACTCACGTGCTCACCCTAGTACAGCAAAAATATTTTTAACTCAAAGTAGCAATGACTACCTTGGGGGACATTCTGATAGTCAAAATTAATACATTTAAGTAGAGCTCTAGAAAAATGAGGAAAACTAGTAATATTCACAATTCATTAGTCAACTTCTTTGGTGTGTCGAGACCTCAAAACAAACAATTGATGAGAAGATGGTCTCTTTCAAAGACTCTCTAATTTCCTATCATTCAAGCCTCCTGAAACTATGCTCCGTATATAGATGATATAAAATTCTCATTACTCAGTCATATTCTTTCAATTCCATCTACTCCTGGCCTCCTAAATATGATACCCTTTCCTCAGGACTTTTCTCAGAAAAGGCCATTGTATAGTATCTCCTAAGACTTTCTAGAAGAGAAAGCAGGATCAATAGAAGCTGAATTTAAACCTTGGTCTAGAGCATCAGTAAGACTAACACAAATTTGCTGCAGAATTTGGCATTTTGTTAGATACACATAATTTTGGACTATTTAATTTATATAGCTTGCTTAATTGCTAGTTTCTCAAAAGGGAAAAACGGTTAAAAGCAGCAGGATGGGAAATACCAGGAGGAGATTTTCATCACTTAGCTGTGTATAAGTGAAGAAAGTGGCTTTGAGAGGGAAAACAGATGTATATATAGTACACTATATAGGGACATGCAGTTTTTCCTTTATGGATATGAACAGATTCAACATTGTAAGCAAAGTGAACATGAATTAATACAGGGTTTTAAAGATGGATTTCAGGAAAGTTTCAGTTTGAGTAGACAGTCAGAATAGCCCCAATATGTGAAATGAAGGGAACCTTATCTGTCATTATAATGGGCTCAGACTCAAAACAGGGGTCTTAAACAGCAATTATACAATGGAATGGAAAATTGCCGGTTTAGGAGAGTTCCAATATGTAACTGAATATTTTCAAAGAGCTTTAAAAAGGAAACTAGCTGAAAATTAAACCAAGCTTATCACCCTTCAGATAAAGTAACTGGCTCTAAGTTAAAAATAATACCGAAAGTCCTCTGTTCTTTAAGAATAAAGAGCCTATGGCTAGGAACACCTGTAGATGTTGTAAGCAGAAAAGCCAGTGAAGGAAACAATGAGCGATATTTTGAACAAAATATGAACGAAACAAAAAGACAGTTATCCTAGATCTGTCCAATTATGCTGCTCTAAGAGAAAACTCAGCACCCAGCAATTTTCTGTCATTCCTCTAAAGTCCCAAGGGGAATTGCCTATTAATACAGATGGACAACAATGCAGCTTTTATGTTACTAAACGTGCCGCGTATCTATCATTAATTCTACCTCTGTAGAATATCAGATTGCTTAGAAAAACATTTTAAAGTTGAAGAGCCAGAGGAAAGATGAATTGACTTGTAATACAAGTTCAGAAGAGGGGAAAGGGAGAGTTTTGTCTTGAAGTGAAAATGTTTGGTTGTGAAATGTGAAAGAAAACAGTAACAAGCAAACTTGAGGGTGTATATAAATTTTAGAAGCCTTGATGAAAAGTGGACTTTACTTGCCTTGTTTTACTAAAGCAATTTAGAAGTGAGAATTTCTATCAATCCTAAATCTTTTCACCAGACCCAATATTTAAATGTTACTTTGGGACTACTATGAGAACATTCCTTTCTTCTTTGTGACATAAGTCCTATCTTACATGGAATTTCCAGATAAAATTAAAGCAGAAGGGTTATTTTTAAGGGTCCCTAAAATTTCCCTCATATACACACTTACTAACTGGTCTATGAATTGGAAAACTTTCACTATGTATAATTCAAGAAATAACTGCAGAATTCTCTATGGTCCACAGAGGTGGTCAGAATATTTGCAATAAAGGCCATAAGAAGCCATTGACTCTTTCAAGGTTATCATAAAAGTTCAGTTATATAGGTGTGTGAAAAGATAAAGCTCTTCTCCTTTAGGGGCCATAACTCAACAGCATGAAACATGTCAAAGATCCATTGCGTGTTCTCCTTGTTTCAAAGATATTGTGGTCTCAGCTAATTTTGTTAAAACCTTTTCAGATCATCTTTCCCAATCTGTGAATTGCCTTTTAATTATCCTACTGATGTCTTTCAAAAAGTTTTAATTTTAATAAATTCCAAGTTATAAATTTTTTTCTTTCATGGTTCATGCGTTCTATATCCTAAGAAAATCTTTGCTAATCCCAAGATAGCAAATGTCTCCTATGTTTTTTTTCTAGAATTTCTAGGTTTAGCTTTTGTTTAGGTCTATCATCCATTTTAAATCTAAATTTTGCACTAAAATTATGTATGTGATGTAAAAGTTGAGGTTCATTTCTCATATGAATATATACTTATTCCATTTGTTGAAAAGATGCTTTCCCTCTTTGAATTGCTTTGGTGCCTTTTTGTTTTGTTTTCTTTTTAGACAGGGTCTCACTCTTCTGCCCAGACTGGAGTGCAATCACAGTTCACTGCAGCCTCAACCTCCCCAGGCTCAGGTGATCCTCCCATCTCAGTCTCCCAAGTACGTGTGACTACAGGCACACACCACCACACACAGCTAACTGTGCATTTGTCAAAAATCAATCGTCCATATACGCATGAGTCCATTTTTGAACTCTATTCTGTCCACTGGTCCTTAACATTGCTTATAAAACATGTCACTGGCAATAAATTCTCTCATCTTTTCTCTGAGTCTTTTCACTTTTTGAAGATTTTTGCTGAATATCGAATTCTAGGTAAACATGTTATTTTTTCAGCACTTTTAAGATGGCATGCCAAGGTCTCTAACTTGCTGTTTAAGAAAAATAGGTAGTTATTCTTATCTTGGCTTCTCTGCATGAATATACTTTTTTTTCTCCAGTTGCTTTTACAACTTTCTCTGGTTTTCAACAATTTCATTATGATGTACCTTGATCAGATTTTTTCTGTTACCTTGTTTGTTGAATTTCTAGTGATCTGTGGGCTTATAGTTTTCATCAACTAGGACACTTTTCAGCCATTATTTCTTAACATACTATTTTTGTTTCCACTACTCCAACTTCTAGGACACAAAATACAAGTATATTAGATTAGTTGATATTATCCCATAGGTGGCTAAGACACTGTCCTATTTTTTTTCTCTTTGTATTTTAGCATGCTTTTAAATTCACTAATTTTCAGTTCTGTAGAGACTGATCTGCTATAATTTCATCTATTCCTTCTTACCTAGCTAGTGACCAAAGAAGTCAAACAGCAGCAGTGATTTAAAAATAAATCTTACACATACTTAAAATAAAGGTATAAGGCCAGGCATGGTGGCTCATGCCTGTAATCCCAGCATTTTGGGAGGCCGAGACGGGCAGATTGTCTGAGGTCAGGAGTTCTAGACCAGCCTGGCTAACATGATGAAACCCTGTCTCTATTAAAAATACAAAAAAATTAGCTGGGCATGGTGGTGCATACCTGTTGTCCCAGCTACTCGGGAGGCTGAGGCAGGAGAATCGCTTCAACCCGGGAAGTGGAGGTTGTAGTGAACTGAGATCACACCACTGTACTGCAGCCTGGGCAACAGAGGGAGACTCCATCCAAAAAAAAAAAAAAAAAAAGGTATAAATGTATTGGCCACAAATAAAATATGTAAGGACTATTAATTTAGAACTGTATAAGTAGGCTGGGTGCAGTGGCTCATGCCTATAATCCTAGTTCATTGGGAGGCCGAGGGCAGAACCACTTGAGGCCAGAAGTTCAGGACCAGCTGGGCAACACAGCAAAATCTCTATAAAAATTTTTAAAAATTCGCCAGCCATGCTGGTGGATGCCTGTAGTCCCAGCTACTCTGAAGGCTGAGGCAGGGGGATTGCTCAAGCCCAGGAGCTCGAGGTTACCGTGAACTATTATCATGCCACTGGACTGCATCCAGGGAGACACAGCAAGACCCTGTTTCTCAAACAATTTAAAAAATAAAGAAATGTGTAAGTAGTTTTTTCAATACCTTCTTTATTATGTCTATAAAATTATATGGAGCACTGGAAATATTATTGAATATGACACCAATGACGTGCTATTGTATTTTTTTTAATTTTGACTTCTTTTAAAGAAGGTGATAACAATCTGTGGAAAATGCTTTTACTGTATCATGCCAATATACTGCAAGGAGTATTTCAAAATAATATAAAAGTAATTCACAGACTTAGATTAAATGAAGATCAAATGATCCAAAAATTTTTCTTCCTTAGTTTTTCACAGCAACTGCTAAAGTCCATAAGCTGATTTTTCCAAGAAAATTATTCTAATAATTTTGAGTGTTCAATCCGTGCAATGGTCCAGTCAGGCTTTACTCCTTGTGTGAACTCCCTCTGAAACCTAGGAAAGATATTGCAAATAATGTAAATCTTACATCAGTCCAAGTATGTCTTAGATAACTATGTAATTTGCAAGTGTATATTTAGAAGAATTTTTGGCAACAAGCTAATGGTTAATATTAAATCAAAATCAAAACAAATAAAAAGTTTAACCTACCCATTCAATCACAATAAATATACCCACAAAATTGAAGTACATTCTCAAGTAGTGTGAGTATTTTTAAGGGACTAATCTATATTCAACATCTGCCAGCCCCTAAGAGAAACTTGGATATTATTCTGTTTAAATACTAGCTATAACACTTGCCGAATATGAGGAGAAATAAACTGGACTCTGGTGATGCAAACAGCACTTTAAATACATAACCTAGGATACAGGAAAAAAGCTGTTTTTCAAATTGCACTGTTACCAATTTAGGAATAAATAGTGGAATTTAGTTTACATACATTAAATCAATCTTGAAAATAACAATGTTTATGAGGTACCCACAGTCTTAGTAAGAAACATCAGAAAAGATAAAGTTTAGTATTGATGACAGTGCTCTTTAAAAATGATTTCTTAACAGACAATTCAGTAGATTTAAATTAAGTATTTAAATATATAGAATATTTTGGGTAATTACAAATAAAGCAAAATTTAAAAAACACATTTCTTCCAAGAAAAGCAAAAAAAAAAAAAAAGAGGATATGATTCTCTTTTACCTTAGTAAAACAGAATACATTTTATTTCTTAGGTCATTTTGGGGGTTTGTTATTTTGTTATTTTAAAGCAGATTTGTGTAACTCTGGCAACATAATCATTTTTTTAAAAATAAATGTCAAATTATATCTTCATTGACATGCTCCAGCAGTTTACTGTTGTAGACTTTATTCACATAAAAATACAATATAATGTCTCTTTTACATAACCTGCTAACTTCCTACTATACAGTATGTCCTTAAGGGCAGTATCCCTTCAACTTTGTATCTGAACCTCTACCAGAGCATGTGGGCACACAGATGATCAACAGATGTCTAGTGAATAAATCGTTCATGTACCAATTATGGCAGATTTTATTTTCCAAAAATGGCCACAACCATATCTCCCCTCCTATGTGCTCTTCTGCTATGTGACCTTGCTGTTTTTTGCCCCAAAAAGCGGGGGACTCTTCTTTTTTTTTTTTTTTTTTTTTTTTTGAGATGGAGTCTCGCTCTGCCTCCCAGGCTGGAGTGCAGTGGCTGGATCTCAGCTCACTGCAAGCTCCGCCTCCCGGGTTCACGCCATTCTCCTGCCTCAGCCTCCCGAGTAGCTGGGACTACAGGCGCCCGCCACTTCGCCCGGCTAGTTTTCTGTATTTTTTAGTAGAGACGGGGTTTCACCGTGTTAGCCAGGATGGTCTCGATCTCCTGACCTCGTGATCCGCCCGTCTCGGCCTCCCAAAGTGCTGGGATTACAGGCTTGAGCCACCGCGCCCGGCCGCGGGGGACTCTTTCTATACCCTTTGAACTATACAGATCCTTTGACTGCTTTGACAAGGAGACTATGGCAGAACTGATGTTCTAATTCTGGGCACAGACCTTTACTGGTTTAGCAGCTTCCATTTTCTGCCTCCTGGAATTCAACCACTCTGTGAAAGATATGACTAGTCTGAAACTACCACAAGTCCAAGCCACAAAGAGAGGCCCTGGAGAATGCAGAGTCATGGAGAAGCCAAGGAGTATCAAGGTGCCACACATGTGAGTTAAGAAGTCACTGTGGAAATGAATCCTCCAGCTCCTGCCACCCGTGTTGATGCCAGGTGAAGCAGATAAAACCCCCTAACTGAGCCTATCCAAAATTTCTGAGCGTGAAATAGCAGGCAAAATCAATGGCTGTTTGAAGCCAATGAATTTGGGAGGAGTTTGTTAAGCAGCAACAGATAGTTAAAACATCATTTAATTAAATTTAGCAACATTACCTCTTTCTAATTTCTTAACTCTCCTGTTTCATATCCAGTGTGTCTTTCTGACCTTTTCTCTTCATAAATAACTTGTCAAATTTCAATTCTTTTCTTCCTAAAGATCTCTTAATTTTCATACCTTCAAACTACCTTCCATCTTCTGGAGAAAGGAAGCAATGAAATCTGATTAAACTTACTCATAGCTTGCACTAAGAAGTTGTTTAGTTTCCACATTCTGATTCCCCAACTTAACCTGGAATACACTGGCTCCTCTTAAAGTTTCACTGGGGATGTTGGCACTGGTTAGATACCAAAAGCACATCAGGATGTTAACAAACTTCCTTCCTTAGAGAAAAAACATATACACACACATACAAATACAAATCAAAATAATCTATCATCCATATATACAAAATGAAATCAGAAATTGGCAGTAGTCATACAGTTGTTACAGGTCAAATTCTGTGCTTATTCTGATGTGACTTAAAATATTTGTATTGATACTGTTTTATTTTTAGTAAATTGTCTTAGGGTTTATGGCATACTTGCTCTCTTCTCTGTATCTCAGTAAAAAGCTACTACTTAACTGAGCACATACTTTACTAAGTATACTATATGGATTATTTTCAATTAGTGGCATTTTCTTTTTCTTTCTCTTTTTTTGACACAGTGTCTCACTCTGTCACCAGGGCTGGGGTGCAGTGGCACAGTATCGGCTCACTGCAACCTTCGCTTCCCAAGCTTAAGCAATCCTCCCACCTCAGCCTCCTGAGTAGCTGTGACCATAGGCACCCACCACCATGCCCGGCTATTTTTTCATATTTTCAGTAGAGCCTGGGTCTTGCCATGTTGCCCAGGCTGGTCTTGAACTTTTGAGCTCAAGTGATCTGCCTGCCTTAGCCTCCCAAAGTGCTGGGATTACAAGTGTGAGCCACTGCATCTGGCCAGGCATTTTCTAAGATTATAATAATCTCATGACAGATATGTATTGTCAAACCAAAAACGAGGAGAAAAATAATATCTTTTGCTGCTCAGTAACTATCTTAACTTCAACTGCCAGAAAGAGTAAAGGCTTTCTATTCTACCCTAATTCACCTTGCTGTGCCTGGTGATTCTGACAACCTCCTGATGCAAAAGTTAGTTAGTGACCATGGTGCTGAGATGCAATTTGAAATATTAGGGAAGAAGAAAATATTTATCACTAAAAATATCTTTACAAATGTTTCAAAATAATGTGTGCATGAAAAATTTTATCATCATTAAGAGTCTCTTTCTTCTACCTTAGGAAGTGTTTAAGCAGAGTCTACATTTCCTGTGTGGCTGGCACATAATACATATGCAAATAGAGTCATCCCTTGAAATCCATGGAGGATTAGTTCTAGGACCCTCCTGTGGATACCAAAATCCACAGATGCTCGAGTCCTTTATATAAAATGGTGTAGTATTTGCATAACACACATCCTCCAGTATACTTTAAATCATCTCTAGATTATTTATAATACCTAACATAATGTAAATGCTAATGTAAATAGTTGTTATACTGTATTATTGAGAGAATAATGACAAGAAAAAACTACATGTTCAAGTATAGATGCAACTTTTTTAAAAATATTTTCTATCCGAGATTGGTTAAATCTATGGATGTGAAACCCCCAGATACAGAGGGCCAACTTTGTATGTATCAGGAACAAACAGTGAATTATCAGGAATGCTATAGGGAAAATGTATGCCTCAGACAAGAAGAACCAGATAACCACTAAACTTCCTCCCAACTTTTTTCATTATTCTCAACTAGATCCAATTTGGGAGTTCTGCAGTTAATCTTTTGAAATCATCTTTAGTTGACAATATCTAATTTGATTTTCTTTTACCCCTCATTCCTTCCGTATAAGGTGCAGTTTTAAAATACTCAATTGTTTCCTTCAAGTTACTACTGTATTGAATAAAAATAAAATAAATAAATAAATAGTAGCAGAAAAAAGTTCTAGATAGAAAGGCTTAAGAAATGATGACCATGTCTCAACTCTTTCAGAAGTAGGTCTTTAAAGAATGGATATAACATTTTCTTGGAAGTTCTATTAATTTCTACTTGTCCTGACAAAACTCTATTTTGTGATTATCCACTACTTTAGCTTATCTGGACAATTATGGATCATTTCAAGTTGACTATGCTCTGGCATTACCTTTCTCATCATAGTAAATGGAGATGTCTCCTGTTGATGTAAATACAATTTCATCTATGTTAGCAGCAAGGGCATTTTTATGGTTGTCAGGTAGTGAAGTAACCTTTTCTTTCAATACATGTAGCACCTAAGTTTGAAAAAAGCAAGCCATTAGTTCACCAATACCATTTTTGAAACCTTTCAAAAAGTGATCTTTATCATGGAATACATTTTTCCAAACCTATTTTTAAATTTACTACCGTATTTACTCATCCTCAAAAGCAAGGCTGAAATGTATCTCATTATTCAACTAGGTAATTCCTAACAGAACATTCTATATAAGAGCAATTGAAAGACATCATAATTACTTACTTATGCCTTAAGTAGCAGGAGTTATTCCATGCTTTTATATGACCCGAAGTACCCATAAGAACAGATACACAGACTCTACTTTGGATGCTGGCACACATGCTATTTTTAAGCATAAATAAGGAAAATGTGCATCATTCTATTGCAAGAGTTTATTTTTAAAGCAAAATGTACAATATACTTTACCTCTTTGGCCACAAGTTCTTCCAACAGATCAAATTTACACTGTGACAGCAACTTGGATACATGAGCAAAAGCCTTGAAAAAAATATTAAGGGAAGTGTGGGGATTATTATTTCAAAATACCATACCATGTTCATATTTAAATGGCTAAGTGTAATACAGACTATTTTATGGTAATGGTGATAAACAACATCAAATATTAATTTATCAAGGCATGACTCCTTCAAGGTTGGTTGACTTTTTCTATATGGCCTTGCCACATATATAGCAGTAAGTGACTTGACTTTTAATTCTGGATCCACCTTCAGGACCTGGGAAATGACAGCGTGTTGTGTACAATCTAGGTATCTCAATAAAAATCCTCCTTTATATTTCTTTTTAAAATGATGACGTAAACAATCATTTGACAGCTGTATGACCCACCTCTTAATCATGCATAGATAGCAGTTGGAAAGGAGAACAGTCTAGATTGCACTGGGAGTCTGGAAATCTGGGCTGAAGTCTGAATCTCAGTATGGGAGATAATGTAGGTTTGAGAAAAGTGGGAGAAAAGGTCATTAGTTTATATGGTCTAAAACAGTAGATCCTAGCTTTGAAGTGTGAAATTCCATTTTCAAGGAGGGAAAATCCCAACTGCAATTCTCATTGCTAGCAATGAGAAATCAAACTGTGAATTAACATCCTACCTGTCTTCAGGGAACTTTCAGTCCACTTGGGAAAAAGACAAGTAAACTGACAAGTTTAGGAATTTTGACAGGGATAAGAACACGATGACTTGGGAGCATACAGAAGAGCCTTCTAACCCAATCTGAGAAGATCAGAGAGGGCTTCCTAAGGGAAGAAACATCTAAACTGAAATCTGAAATAAGCTGAAATCTAGGCTGCCAGAGGATGCACAGGCATGTCAGATATGGCATATCAGAGAATACTACCTAACTGTTATAGGATGAATTGTGCTCTCCTTCCCCCAAAATTTATGTTGAAGCTCTAACCCCCAGAACCTTGGAATGTGACTATATTTGGAGATAAGGCCTTAAAGAGGTGATTAAGTTAAATGAGACCATCAGGATGGGCCAAAATCTAATCTGACTGGCATCCTTAGAAGAGGGGCAAATGTGGAGTAAGAACCACCAGGAGCGCACATGCACAGGGAGGACCATGCAGTGACACAGCAGGAAGACGGCCATCCGTAAGCTGAGAGAGGCCTCAGGAAAAAAACCCCTCCGACACCTTGATACTGAAATTTTGGTTGTTTGCTTTATATAAGCAACATTGCATACAGACTGGCTGATGAATGGGGTGGAAATACTACTTAATAGCAAGGAAGGAGGTGAAAATAGCTAACAGCTGGAGAACCACTAGGACTGGAGTGACTCCAAAAATGCTGCAGGCTCCTCTGTGTGTTCAGAGGAAACAAGTACTGAGGCCTGATTCCTGCCAATGGTGGGGCGATGATTTCCAATCCTTACTGAAACATAAATGAACTGGTACCATCATATGTGTTATGAGGTGGACAAGCTCATATATCATCGGTGGGCACTGTAAAGAACAGGAGGATCAATACAACTTACCACTGCATGGACAAAAGATTTTAAGAACTGACAAGAGCAGAGGTTTATCCCTTAATTATGATGCTGAGTTAACCATCTTAATCAAGCTTGTTCTTTGACTTTTTTTTATGTAAATATATATAGTAGTCAAGAGTTGACTCAGAGAAGCAGGCAGCAGGAGTTAATACTGACACTTATTACATAAAGTTGAAAACATTTATTTACAACTGATAGGTCTCATAAATACAAATGGCCATGATTATGGAAAGAATCTGAAATAAATTTGGAGTAAAAATATCAATACCAGTATACAACCAATATTGTAAAATGATTACACCAATGGTATGGTTTTAAGGCATATGAAGGTATGAAGCAGGAAATATACTTTATGAATTCTATTGTGGTTTTTGTTTTTGTTTTTTGAGACAGAGTCTCGCTCTGTCGCCCAGGCTGGAATGCAGTGGTGCCATCTCAGCTCACTGCAACCTCCACCTCCCAGGTTCATGCGATTCTCCTGCCTCAGCCTCCAGAGTAGCTGGGACTACAGGGGCGCGCCACGGCTAATTTTTGTATTTTTAGAAGAGATGGGGTTTCACCATATTGGCCAGGCTGGTCTCGAACTCCTGACCTGTGATCCACCTGCCTCGGCCTCCCAAAGTGCTGGGATAACAGGCGTGAGCCACCATGCCTGGCCGACTTCTATTGTTATCAATAGTTTTGCAATGTTTGGGAACGATACAATCTGTAAAGGAGTCAAAAAAAGAAAAAAAAAGGTATACATGGCCCTTAATCCTAGAAAAAAAGCATGTACCCACAAACTCTACAAATAACCTCAGGGCCCAAGTGACCACTGTCATAAGGGTAAGGCAAGGTATAATCAGCCATTCAGAAACAGGTACGTAACTAACGAAGTCAGGGATAAGAATCTCTAAAGGCTAAATATTTTCTGTGTGTAGGGTGCTGCGCACTTAGCCACCAGGCAGTCTCAGCAAACCCTTTAAAAGGGTAAAACTGCTCATCTCGAGTTTAATCTTTAAGGAGTATGGGGTGGTGTGTTGGTGGACTCTGTCAAATAAACGGCAGAAAGTTCAGCTCTTCTACCCAAGGTGACATTACAGCACTTTGGAAATGTTATCTCATTTATTCTTCAAACTGACCCATTTATTAATGTATTCAACAAACATTCATGGAGGGCCTACTATGTGCCAGGGATTGTCTTGCCCACTTTGTAGATTTGAAAATTACGTTCAGACAATATGAGACCATATAGCTTTTTCCTTTATTTTTTGAGACAGGGCTTGGCTCTGTCTCCCAGGCTGGAGTGCAATGGCACCATCACAGCACTACGTCCAACTCCTGGGTTCAAGCAATCCTCCCCTTCAGCCTTCTAAGTAGCTGAGACTACAGGCGTGTACCCCCATGCCTGGCCAGAAGCTTACTTTAAGTCAAGCAATGGCTGGAAAGCTCTATGTCTGGGCCACTAATCACTTTGGATCACTTGTATCCCAGTGAAGAAACTAAGCACTTCTGCGAATAATAGTTGAACTCATTAGAGACAGACAAGTCAACCAGGAAAATAAACAAACCTGCTTCGCTCCCTCAGAGAACTCTGCGATGCTGAACTCTTTGTCGAAATAGGCCCAGATAAGGAAGGCCTTAATTCGAGTCCTAACCCAGTTGATAGGGTTGGAGAATCCCAGGACGATCATCTTGGTTTTCTGGTGCTGCTGGGGCTTCTCCTCCGTGCTGTAGCTGCGCTGAAGGCAGGCAGGGAAAGAAGCGAAGGCTGTGGGGAGTCCCGGGCGGCTGAGCACTGGCCGCCGGGAGCCCTGGGCAGGTAGCGCCGAGGCCGCCAAGGCCCAAGCGCTTCGGGGAAATGACGCCGCTCCCGAGCCGAGGCGACAGCGGCAGAGGTAGCAAAGTCTGGCCGACGGCAGCCTCACCTCGGCCGCAGCGAGAGTCCGGAGTCGGACGGCCCCGCAGGGCAGCGACCCAGAGTGCCGCAACTGGGGTAGCAGACCAGCGGCCAGCGCCATTTTTATATGACCCTTCACCCCGGTGCCTGCTGGTGCTGTATGGAAAGGAAGTCGGTGGGAAACCACCTCAGCGGTGTCGGAGAAAGAGACTGGAGAGCAAAGTGGACTTGTTGCTGCCGCCTCTGATGAGTCGGCCCCGTCCCCGCTCTCCAGCACGCAGCCCAGGCCGAGGCCCTTGGGCAACCCGCCCCGCGCTCCGACCCAGCCTCTCTGGAGTCCGCCGGCCTCGCGGACCTTTTCTCTGTCGCTCGTGTTTCCGGGCGGATGGCGCTGAGGAACGCTTTAGAGCCGAAGTTGCGAGGACCTGTAAGAGGGCAGGCGTGAGCAACCATGGCCGGACGGCACTTCCCGGTTACCCGGCTGGAGGGCGTTTCTCGGGAGCAGTTCATGCAGCACCTCTACCCACAGGTGAGTCTCTTGCGCGGGGCAGAACCCCGGGAAACCAGCGGGAGACGGGTCTTCACCATTTGGACGACGGGGAACTGGTTTTTAGAGACCCAGGGTGTGGAAAAGAGGCGCAGGACGGCAGCAGATGACTGGTTGGCCCTTAGGCCAAGGGAAAGGTGCACGTGGGACGCCGACTGGCTCCTCTATTGAAATTTCCGGAGAAAGCCCCATGTTTCTAGGGAGCAAGATGATGGCGGAGAGCTGAGTGCGAGAGGTATTTTGCCTAAACTCTACTCCGCATCTGTCAGTCTATTCCGAATTAATGGGTTTGAAGGCACAACTTTTCACTCCACTGAGCCAAAAAGGAAAGCAATGGGATTCCCCCGGGAAATTCCTACTTGTCTTGAATTCTAACTTACTTAGGTTCTAGTTCCGACATTGGAGTCTTTTATACCTGTAGTTAGAACCTTAGGTCTTTAAAACTCAGAGAAATATTAGGGGAACAAAAAGTGCTTTTACTTGCAGTGCTTTACAAGGGAGTCCAGACCTAAGAAAAACAGAAGGTGTTAAAAGGAAAAAATCTACAGGATTACAGTCAGTTTATGGTAGGAAAAATACTCAGCAAGCCGGGCGCAGTGGCTCAAGCCTGTAATCGCAGCACTTTGAGAGGCCGAGACGGGCGGATCATGAGGTCAGGAGATCGAGACCATCCTGGCTAACCCGGTGAAACCCCGTCTCTACTAAAAAATACAAAAAACTAGCCGGGCGAGGTGGCGGGCGCCTGTAGTCCCAGCTGCTAGGGAGACTGAGGCAGGAGAATGGCATAAACCTGGGAGGCGGAGTTTGCAGTGAGCTGAGATCCGGCCACTGCACTCCAGCCTGGGCAACAGAGTGAGACTCCGTCTCACTAAAAAAAAAAAAAAAAAAAAAAAAAAAAAACTCAGCAATTTTCTTACCTGATATTTACACTTCTAAGGGTGGACATAGAACTACAGTTCTGGGGCCGGGCACGATGGCTCATGCCTGTAATCCCAGCACTTTGGGAGGCCGAGGTGGGCGGATCACCTGAGGTCAGGAGTTAGAGTCCAGCCAGTAGAAATCCCGTGTCTACTAAAAATACAGAATTAGCCGGGCATGGTGGTGGCACATACCTGTAATCTCAGCTACTCAGGAGGCTGAGGCAGGAGCATCGCCTGGGGAACCCGGGAAGCGGAGGTTGCAGTGAGCCGAGATCGCGCCACTGCATTTCAGCCTGGGCAGCAAGAGCGAAACTCAGTCTCAAAAAAAATAAACACTACAGTTCTGAGTGTTACAAAAATCAGGGATGGACAAGGCACGGTGGCTAATGCCTGTAATCCTAACATTTTGGGAGGCCCAGGTCGGTGGATCACTTGAGGTCAGGAGTTCAAGACCAGCCTGGCCAATATGGTGAAACCCCATCTGTACAAAAAATACAAAAATTAGCCGGGCGTGGTGGCACACGCCTGTATTCCCAGCTACTCTGGAGGCTGAGGTCGGAGGATCTGCTTGACCCCAGGAGGTCGAGGCTGCAGAGATCCATGATCCTGCCACTGCACTCCAGCATGGGCGAGAGGGTGAGACCCTAGTTTAAAAAAAAAAAAAAAGAAGGGGTTTGGGGGACGTGGGAGGAATAAAGTTTTTCTTTTGATAGCAACCTACGGGAGGGGATTCAAGCCTTTATTAGTTGGGAGACTTGTACTAGATGGGATGTTCTTTTTCTTCCTGTCCCTAGACCCCCCCATCTCAGAATGTGCTAGACATTAGTTGCCTTAAGGGCAGTGTTGTGAAGATTAATGTATGTGGAAGTGCTTTGTAAGATGCATAGTAAAAGGTATTTTGTAATTTAATCTCTTCAGACAAGACATATCACAAAGCATCATTACATTTTAAAGAGTTGAAAATTACAAACAACTTTCTTTGGCCATAGGGCAGTAAAACTAGAAATTCATAACAAAATTGGAAAAAAAGACCTTTCTATCTGGAAACACTAAAAAGTATGAGGGAGCATAGTCCTATGAGTTTTTGTTAAATATTTTCTAATAACTCCATAATTAACACTGTACATTGTACAGGTACATGAATAGATAGACCAAGGGACTAGAATAGAAAGTGCAGAAATATCTATTTCTATGGAAATTTAGTGTATAATAAACATGACATTTCAAAAATCAATAGGGTAAAAAATGACTTTTTAAAAAATAGACTGTTTTTTAGAGCCTTTTTAGGTTCACAGCACAATAGACCACAGGTACAGAGATTTCTCATATCCTTCCTGCGCTGACACATGGATAGCCTCCTCCATGATACATCCCCTCATTAGAGTGGTGTATTTGTTGCAATTGATAAACCTACATTGGCACATCATTTTCTTTTTCTTTCTTCTTTTCTTTTTTTGAAATGGAGTTTTGCTCTTATCGCCCAGACTGGAGTACAGTGGCACAATCTCAGCTCACTGTAACCTCCGCCTTCAGGGTTGAAGCTATTCTCCTGCCTCAGCCTCCTGAGTAGCCAGAACTACAGGCACCCGCCACCACGGCCGGCTAATTTTTGTATTTTTTAGTAGAGATGGGGTTTTGCCATGTTGGCCAGGCTGGTCTCGAACTCCTGACCTCAGGTGATGCGCCCATCTCAGCCTCCCAAAGTGCTGGGATTACAGGCGAGAGCCACCGCACCCGGCCTGGCACATCATTTTCACCCAAAATTCATAGTTTATATTAAGGCATACTATTGATATTGTACATTTTATGGGTTTGGGCAAATTTATAATGAAATGAATCCACCATTATGGTGTTATACAGAGGAGTTTCACTTAGAAAATGATAAAATTCAGTTTATATCTCACACTGTACACAAGAATAAACTCCAAGTGGATCAGAAAAATGTAAAGAAATGAAACTACACAAGTTGTGAGTATACTTGGCAATACAAAAAAAATGAAGCTACACAAGTGCTAGAAGAAAATAAGGGTAAATTCCTCTATAATCTAGGTGTATGGACGGCATTTCTAGCTATGACTCAAAATTCAGGTATAATATTAGATTAAAATTTGACTACATGAAACATTTGTTTGCCAGAAACACTATAAGCAAATTTGAAAGACAAATACAAAGTGGGAGAAAATATTTGCAACATTTATCTCATATAAAGGACAGTAAAAACCCTTGTATGGAAAGAACTTTTAAAAGGGGGTAAAAGGCTGAAAATCTGGTAGAAAAATGAGCAAATGATAGAGGGGGAAAAAACAACATTAAAATGGCCTTTAAACTAGGATGTTTAAGTTTACTCTTAAGAGAAATAAAGCTACACTGAGATACAACTTCTCTCGTATCATATTGGCAAAAATTTGAAAAGCTCTGGTAATACTCTTGGTGAGGCCGTGAAGAAACTGACACAGTCAAATTTTATATCAAATGGTACAACTCTTTTGGCATGTCTAACTATGTTTACTTTATGACCCAGTAATTCCTCATTTAGGAATTTATTCTGGAGATATAGCTCCAAAAATGTGTAAATATTTACATAGTGTTACTGCACTTGCAAATTATTGGAAATAACCTAAATGCCTATGCAGGCAAGAATAGTTGAATAAATTATGGCCCATTTACACTGAGGTATACTAAGATGTAAAAAAGAATAAAGGCGATATCTGAACTGATAGTGGTGATTTCTAGGATATATTTATGAAGTTTTTAAAAAGCACATAACGAAAGAAAATATATAGTAAGCTACTATCTATGTAAAAAAGGGAAGAGATAATGAAATACATGTTTTTAATCACTTTGCAAAAAAGAAATAAAGGAATGATAAGCCAAAAATTAATGAGATGGTTATGCATAGGGGATGTGTGAGTATGAGATGGAAAAATGTGGATGGGGTGACTTTTATATAGTTTTGATTTGGGTAATCACGTTAATGTTTTACATTCTAAAGTCATAATAATAAAATCAACAAGGATGGAAAAGTTATTTTTTAAAACACCCTAACATAGAATATAAAAAGTAACACATGAACCTATTTAAGTGGGAGAGGGAGAAGTTACCCAAGTCACTCTTTTTAAACACAATACTTTAATTATATGTCCTCAATCTAAGACAGAAAGAACTGAAAACAAACTGAATTCTAGTTAGTACAGTAAAGTCCTCATTTAACGTTCTCAGTAGGTTCTTGGAAGCTGCAGCTTTAAGGGAAATGACCTATAATGAAACCAGTTTTACCACAGGCTAATTGATAGAAACAAGATATAAGTTCCAGTGGCATATTTCTGGTCACAAAAACATCACCAAACTTGTAAATAAAGACCCAAAACATTTCTAATCTTAAACATTGAAGTAAATGTGAGCTACATGAATATTTAAGAAGGATTAATAAAAATAAATAATTACTCAATTTTTGGTGAATTGTTATGTGACAGTGGTCATAGTAGTGGTGGGTTAAATCAAGGAATAAATGTTTACAAATGGAAAATTGTAAGGAGCACCTCCTACCACTGAACAGTTCAAAACAAGTATGGCAGGTTCACTGAGTGCTTTCATACTGACTTGTTTATTGTGCACTTGAATGATTATCATATGCTTTACAAATTTTTGTTTTACATACTTTGTATTCACTTCTTCCTTCATTTTCCAACCTGCTTATTCCAGTTCAGGGTCACAGGTGGCCAGAGTTTATCCTGGCAGCTCAGGGCACAAGGTAGGAACCAACCCTGGACAAGATACCATGTCATCTCAGGGCACACACACACATACACGTGCGCACACACACACACACGTGCACTCATTCATGCTGGGACTATTTAGACATGCCAGTGAACCTAATGTGCACATCTTTGGGTTGTGGGAGGAAACCAGAGTACCCAGGGAAGACCCACAGAGATGTGAGGACAATGCAAAAACTCTACTCAGACAGGGGCCCTGGCTAGGAATTGATTTTCTTTTTTTCCTTTTCTGTGTTATAACTTTACTTGAGGACCTGTTGTAGACATGTTTTTTACAGTGGTGTGACCTAACAGTGGCAAAAGCAAATTCTGTGAATTCTTTACTTCCTGTGAATTCTGGGATTTTACAAGTCATTAAACATTGAGGATAATGGGAACTAGGTTTCCCACGGCTGAAAATCGGAGTTACAAATTCAGTAGATTATAATGAACCTTGAAATGTTTATGGCTCATACGTACACCTGTTAGGTAAATGTGTGTGGGCATGTATTATATATATGGACATATATGGAGAGAGAGCTGAACAGAATAGGTATATGCATATATGGGGTATACGTGTAGATATATTTGTGGGATATACATAGACCCTCACATATATCCTAGCTCTGTCCACTCAGAAGAAACCAGAGCTACTTTAAGAAATGACTAATCACAAGGCTGAGCAGAGAAAGTATCAAAGATGTTGGGTCATGTTGTTTTGCCATAATGTAAGGAAGTGCCCTGGTTAAAAAGTCACAAGAAGCATCTTGAAGGGGCTTACTGGCCAAATCTGGGATAATTTGGGTGTCAAAATTATACCACTAGATTATTACCCAGTGAATAAAATAATTCAGTGGATAAGTTAGAGCTCATTTCGATATTAGTATGCCAACTAATAAATGTAGAAGAAATGATGGAGTTTAGAAAAATCACTGTTTTTTGTACTCATCGTAGCAAAACATCGTGTGCTACCTGATGTGGCATGCTGAGAAGGCTACACCATTCCTTTTGTGGCACATTCCTTTTCCAAAATGTGTAACTTGAGTCTAATTACGAAGAAACTTGAGATAAACCCAAATTGAAGGGTTTTCTAAAAATAGCTGGCCTATACTCTTCCAAAATGTCAAGGTCATAGAAGATAAAGAGGCTGATGATTAAACATTTCAGATTAAAAGAGACATAGCAACTGAATGCAGTGTGACATCTCAGATTGAATTCTGGGTTAGGAAAAAACGCTAAAGGAAATCATTGGGACAATTAGCAAAATTTGAATATGGACTGTAGATTAGATAATAGTATTATGTCAGTGTTTTGTTTTTTGTTTTTTTGTGTGTGACGGAGTTTCACTCTGTTGCCCAGGCTGGAGTGCAATGGCACGATCTCAGCTCACTGCAACCTCCGTCTCCTAGGTTCAAGCAATTCTTCCACATCAGCCTCCCGAGTAGCTGGGATTACAGACATGCACCACACTTCAATTTTTTTTTTTTTTTAAATTTTTATTTTTAGTAGAGATGGGATTTCACCATGTTGCCCAGGCTGGTCTCAAACTCCTGACCTCAAGCAATCCACCCTCGGCCTCCCAAAGTGTTGGGATTATAGGCGTGAGCTACTGCGCCCAGCCTACGTCAATGTTAAATATAATTTTGGTAATTATTCTGTGGTTATATAAGGGAATGTCTTTGTTCTCAGAAAATATACTTAAGTTTTTAGAGATAAGGACCATGGTGTCAGCAATTTAACCTTGAAATGGTTCCAGAAAAATTATGCTTAATTTAATTTCAATTAATGATAATATGTCCTTTTATTGACAGTAAGAACAAATCATAAAGCAAATGTGCAAAATGTTAACAGTTGGTGAATTGGGGTAAAGCGTTTACGGAACTTCTTTGTAGTGTTCTTAAAACTTTTTTATAAGTTTGAAATGACATCGAAATTAAAAGTTACAAAAATATTTGACTATAAAGTACAAATTTTAGTCATTATATATTGATGGTCTTGCAGTTTTGTTTTGTTTTTCTAATCTTAAAATTTTGTTCTAGATATTTCACATGGCCCCTCTTCTTGTTTTAGTGACAACATGAACTGTCAAAAGCTTTGAGGTCGAGCATCTTGGGAGCAAGAGTCAGATCTTACTTGTTTTTTGTCTTCCTGTTGCCAAATACAGCTCTTGATGTGTCGTTGGTTTTCATGAATTTTGTTGTTGTACTTCTTTCCCCACTTACAGAGAAAACCTCTTGTGTTGGAAGGGATTGATTTGGGGCCATGTACAAACAAATGGACAGTGGATTACCTAAGCCAAGTTGGAGGGAAGAAAGAAGTAAAGATTCATGTTGCTGCAGTTGCACAGATGGACTTCATTAGTAAGAACTTTGTATATAGGTATTTTCTTCTGAGGTTTACTCTGGGGATACAAATAACTTTTTTAAAACTTTTAAAATATTTTTGCATTATTATACAAAGACCATATGGCATTTCATCTTTTGGCTGGTTTGATGTAATCATGGAATAGCTTACTGATTTTTAAAGAGTGGTTTTTAAAAGACAAGAATTCTGAGTTTACATAATTATACAATGACAATTTTTTATTTTATTTTTTATTTTTTTTTGAGACAGAGTTTTACTGGGCCACCCAGGCTGGAGTGCAGGTGCGTGATTTTGGCTCACTGCAACCTCTGCCTCTCGGGTTCAAGTGATACTCCTGCCTCAGCCTCCCGAGTAGCTGGGATTACAGGCACGTGCCACTATGCCCAGCTGACTTTTGTATTTTTAGTAGAGACAGGGTTTCACCATGTTGGCTGGGCTGGTCTCAAACTCTTGGCCTCAAGGCATCCACCTGCCTCAGCCTCCCAAAGTGCTGGGATTACAGGCATGAGCCACCATGCCTGGCCAACAATTTTTTAAATAGGGTATATACCCAATACCTTCTGGAGTCATGGAAGGAAGAGAAAATTTCTGTAACTAGGGTTAGATTTCATACGAAGTTGGATGTGCCGTACTCATTCAATGCTTGATTAATTAGTTGATCCTATCACATTAGTAACTGTTATATAGAATAGGAAATTCTAAAAGGCTCGTGTTTTCTTTTTCTGTCCTCTCCAGACAACCAGGACAAGCTATGTTTGGTATAATATTTCATCATCTTAGATAACTTTTAAAAATCATACTTAATTTTCCCTTTTGATAAAATAGTCTTAAGTACCTTTAATTTCTCCCATGATTATCATTTTATGCTGTGGAATTTCTTAAAAGTAAATAAGAAATAGTCAAAAGCTGCTGATTGTCTAAAGATGAAAGTTTTAAATGCTGTCATCTTACAGATTTCATTTGCTATTTATTCCCATGAGTTTCATTTAAATTGTTAAATTAAAAACAAACAGCTTTCAAACTCTGAGCATGTGAAGTTCCCAGCAAATTCAGTCTATTGAAAAACCATGTAGTTCACAAGACTTCAATTTAGAGATGAGTTAAACAGAGCTTCTAATGTCCACAGCCATTCCTTTCTCATTAGTTTTCCAAGTTCATATAGCAGCTGCCAAAGCATTGCTCAGTTTTTAATCCTTTGAATAGTCACCATAATGGTTTTAGTTATTAATAGTCCATGAATTGAATTTAATTGCCTTAAGTTTTTCCAAGTGTAGGAACTTTTCATTTTTTATCAAATTAAAAATGCCAGAACGATGAGTGTTTTTCAGCCAGCAGTTAATGATGTTTATTTTCCAGGGAGTCCAATGCCATAACAAATGAGTACTGAAACTTCATCTTGAATTGCCTTGATGTTTTGTCATGTCTTTTTAAACTTTTCAAAACTTGTTTTTGAAGCACATACATTATGTAATAGTTCCTATCGCAGCTTCCGCCAAGCCTTTCACTAGAGCTACTAAAAAGTTGCAAGATTATTTTTTTAGTGCAACAAAAAAAATAGGTTTAGTCATTTTTAGCATTTACCAGGCAGTAGGAAAGAAGGAATGCAACCAGGCCAAAGAGAGACTAGAAAGTAAGAAACCCTGCACACACATATATATTATTATTATCACTTGAAATTGAGGTTGCTTTTATGCTTTATCAAACTTTGGAAGAGTGATACATTAACAAGTATGAACTTTTACTTCTTTCTTCTTGGTAGCGCTCATTGTTCAGAGTCAGGAGAGTATGGACAAAAGAACCTTGTGTGGTCAAAGGATATTGTTGGCATTCTTCTGATCATAGATTTTTTTTTAAAAAAGTCTCATCATGTAAGGTTTGCCACATCTTCCTGTCACATCCTGTAATTCCTGTCATCATCTTGCTCTTGTTTATTGTACTCTCATCAGTTCTGATCTTGATTTTATAAAGCAGCCTTTTCCAAACGGGGAACAAGACAGTGAAGGGCTTTTTTCTTCTTTTTTAAAGTGTTGATGACTACTTGCATGCTGCAGAAGGGTACGTTGTCATTGTTGTTAACCCCACCATCTGTCCTTTGCTGAGCACTTATTATATTCCAGGTACTGTGCCAAGCCATCTAGGTTATATTACTCATTTCAACTGCAGAACAATCTGTGAGGCAGATATTTTTAATAATAATTTCACAGATGAGGAAAGAGAGGTTAAAAATATTAAGTAACTTCTCCAGGATCACATAGCTTGAAGTGACAGAACCCAAGGTGTTTAATTTCCCTGACTCCACGGGGCCCATGATTAAGCCTTCTTTGACATTACCTTCCTTACTGGTGCTGCCAGTCCAGACAAATGGCACTTTAATAACCAATGCCCTTCTTTTTGAAGCATGGATAGGATAGATTTTTAAAAAGCCAAAGAACTTCCCAATTTACATACCTAATTTCTCCCCCATCTGGGCTTAGTAGAAGCTATGACAGGTACCATTACCTAGGAGAGAAGGTTGCTGGTGGCATCCCAGTTCTGCTTCTCTGGGCTGAGCTACTCTGTCTGCTCTTTCAGGGTCACTATTCTGCTCTGTTTTTCTAAAAGTCTTGAAACACTTTTTTGTTCTCCCTAGTAAGAAAGCTAAGCCTGGGTAAATGCAGCAATTATAGTAGTAGCTATGGTCCAGATAAACTTCCCCACTGGCCCAGACAAAGATGCTTTGAAGAATGAAAGCAAGAAAGAATGAAGGGTATATGGTGAGGTCAGAGATGGAAAACATTGAGTAGGAGAATGCCAAGTAAATTTGTTGATATTAGTCAGACACTATTTATAGTCAAAGAAATAGTACTCTGCATTGGTCTAAGTAGATGGCAGATCCCTCTTTTCTCTCCTGCAGTGCTCACTCTACATAATTACCAGCAGTGGCCTCAAGTTCAGATTGACATACAGAGCATCCACCAATCCATAACCTGGCTTCAGATTCCCTTACCTTTCTGCAGGAGGATATAAGGCAGGAAACGGCATTCTAGCAGGATAGTATCAGTGGAGTCTTTATACAAATCCAGGGACTGTTTTTTGACTCATCAAGTTACAGCTTAGTTTTAAGGGAATGAGACAATGGAGGTAGTATAGAAACAGCTGAGCTTAGGTAAAACATACGGTCCATAGAAACCAGTAGCTTGAAACACCCCATGAACTTAGCTTCTGCTTTCCTCCAAGGACCATACTCAGGAGAGTTGCACTACACATAGGAAAGCCAAATCATCTGCTTCTGAACAAGTATTTGTAGTCCATTTTTAGGCCACCTAGTGCAAACATAATTCATCTATCGGATTATTTTTACAATAAACAGTGTTACCCGATATGACAACTGACATTCTACATTTATCTTTAATTTTTTTGTATTCAACGTAATTCATGGGTTCACACCGTGTTTGTGTTTACCCAGTATGTTTCTGGGAAAACAGTGCAAGGAGAAAGTAAGCTGGCCCAAGGTCATCTTCTCATAGAGAAGGAGAAAGTATTCAACCTTTTCTTTCAACTTTCTCAGTACAGAGTTCAAGTGGGAAGATATTTAGTAGTAAGACTGAAAAGATTACAGCTTTTAATCACAAGTTTGGAGGCAGGAGTGTAGTGGGGGTAGCAGAGGAGAGGCTTTTGAGGACTCATTGTCTTGTTACCTATACCATATCATCTTCATTTACAGGGCAATACTTTTGATTCTAGAGAGTAAAGGGATAGATGCAATCTAGAGTAAGAATATCCTTCTGGCTCAAGAGTGTGATGTAAAGGAAACAAATTTTGGTTCCACAGTGTTCAGCCCTGTTCATCAGGATGGAAGGAGACAGGCATTTGGGCAGAAATTTTGAAGAATAAAAATTGGTCACTTCACTGGAATTCTCATTGAACTATTCCTCAGAAGCCTTAAAATGATAGAGGGTGGTGCAGCAGGATGAGAGCAGTGTTACTGGCTTCTGAGTTCTGTGATATGCCAAAAGGCAGGAATATGGGGGGTGGTTATCTTCATGGGACCATTTGTGTACTGTCTCTTCCAAAGTAACACTAGTAGTTTGCCCCACTTCTCACAAGATTTGTTTTGCCATGACACTTAAAAATAAGTAGCAATCAGAACCTGAAAGTCTGTATATTTACAAAGGTCATCAGATACCATAGAAACATTTTTCTGTCATAACTTGGAATAGAATATTGACCTATGGAAGGATCCATCTGTACCATAGATTTTGAAATCTTTAATTCCAAAATTTCAGACAACTTAGGTCAAGTAAACATACTGCTCAATAAGTTTTGAAAAGTTAGAATTTCATGTAATAGGTTATAATAAAAATTACAGATATTATAAAACAGGAAATTATATCCAACTCCAACAAGCCTTTATGTATAGTCATTAGATTCTTACTAGTTGATCTGTTATTATTAAGTCCAAGAATTCTTTTGTGTTTATTTCAGAACTTTACCTTTTGACCAGTTGGTCCAGAGGGCAGCTGAAGAGAAGCATAAAGAATTCTTTGTTTCAGAGGTAATTGCTTTTAACATTTTTAAAATTAGGCATTAATATCTATATACTAAATGAATTTCCTTATGAAGGAATAGTATACAAGAGCTATAGCCTTCTCTGATAGACATTCATAAGATTTGGTTGGGTGCATCATAGACTGTAGCTCTGCTATTTATTAGCTCTCAAACTTTGGCCAAATTATTTTTCTGTACTTCAGTATACTCATCTGTGAAATGGGGGAAATAATAGTACCTATTTTATAAAGTGTTTGTGAGGATTAACTAAATAAAATCAGTAAAATACTTAGCAGTGCCTGATGTGTGGAAATTACTCATTAAATGTTAGCTATTAATGTTACATCCTTTTAAAATGCTTTGGTCTGATATGTCAACTTCAAATGCTAATGGAAAACTTCATTTTCGTATCTATTGACTATTAGACTGTTTCTGTATTCTTATTATCAATGTGATTTCTTTTGTGTATATTTGCTATAATATTTGTTCAGGATTAAATGCGGAAGAATTCTACTTAATTATAGTCTAGCTTTAAATAATTCAATTTAAATACCTTGAGATAAGGCATCAAGGCCTTGTATATAAATATGTTTTTAAAAATTTCCTGTGTTGGCCAGGCACAGTGGCTCACGCCTGTAATCCTAGCACTTTGGGAGACCAAGGCGGGTGGATCACCTGAGATCAGCAGTTCGAGACCAGCCTGACAAACGTGGAGAAACCCCGTCTCTACTAAAAATACAAAATTAGCTGGGCGTGATGGTGCATGCCTGTAATCCCAGCTACTTGGGAGACTGAGGCAGGGGAATCGCTTGAACCCGGGTGGCAGAGGTTGTGGTGAGCTAGATCACGCCATTGCACTCCAGCCTGGGCAACAAGAGCGTTAATTGTCTCACACACACAAAAAAAATTCACTGTGTTATTCAAAAGCACATTTTAAAAACAAATTGCTTTTTAAGCTTTGAATAAACCTGTTTTCTGCATTTGAGCCAGCTGGGCTGGGCAGTTTGGTTCCAAAAGGTGTTGCATTTTTACAGTCCTCTTGTCAGGTAATAGTTACACTAGATTACCGCTGCAATCCCCACAAACTCTGTAGGTCTGTGATTCTGTAGTATAACCAAAATGTCTTTTTAAATTGATTCCATTAGCTACACCTGAGAACTGTTTTATAACTTTATAGCCATGCTTTGAACATGTATATTCAGTTGCCCTTTGGTACTTTCCTGTCTAAGGGTAATCAGTGGTATAGATTTAAATAGCCATGAAATGTGAAGTAAAAGAAATAGACACATGGTAAAAGATTAAAGTCTAAAAATCATGGAAAGTATGTAAACAAGATCAACATGAACTGTCAGTTTGGTCCTCTAGGACGCAGATGCTGAGATGGAATTAGGAGTGCAAAAGGCTTTTTAAATAGGAGAAATACCTGTGAAAGGAAATGGGAGGAAGCAGGATTGGATAAGGGGAAGCCATGAGCTGTAGATACAGATCTGACAGTCTCTGACGGCTCATTGGAACTCCTAAGCAGACTGCCTGTGAGAAAAGTCCTGCATTGGGTGGCAGTGTCTAGGTCTTTTAACAGGTTAAGTCACTGGTTGGGACTACCCCAAGAAGAGCATGACCTAGGTTCCAATCCTGAAGTGGACCTGAAGAAGTTAACAGCTGGTAGCTCTAAGCTAATCACACTCCTTGCAGTTAAGCAGTGAGTTCTTTCCTGAAGGAATTTCGGAGCAATGCACTTCTGTGTCTGCTGCATTAATTTTATTTTTTAAATCTTGAAATGTTAGAACTAGTAGAAAACCCTTAGAATTTTGAAGAACATATTTTGAAACCTATTAGCCAGTAATTTATAGAATCTATGTGATGTAGTGCTAGCTAAAAATAGAAAACACTGAGAGTTCAATTAAAACCTCAATCATCAATTTATGTCTTAAGATAAATATGAAGCTCTTTTGAAGTTTATAATGCTCAGTGTTGGGTGAAAGAGGCAGAATTCTGAGTTTAGATTGTCCAAGTGCTTGACTTGGTATATCTCACTTCTCTTAACAGTGAATGTTTTATAATTCAAACAGTTCTCTATTTAGGTACTTGGTGAAGGATAAATAATAATTTTTGGCCACGCACAGTGGCGCATGCTTATAATCCCAGCACTCTGGGAGGCCAAGGAAGGAGGATCACTTGAGTCTAGGAGTTTGAGATCAACCTAGACAACATAGCGAGTCTCCTTCTCTACAAATAGTAAAAATAATTAGCTGAACGTCCCAGCTACTTGGGAGGCTGAGGCAGGAGGATTGCCTGAGCCCAGGAGGTTGAGGCTGCAGTGGGTGTGATCGCATCACCGCACTCCAGCCTGGGTGACAGAATGAGACCCTGTCTCAAAACAATTAATTAATTAAAAAAAAATTAAATCATGATTTTTTTAAACGATCAGTTTAAGTTTAGTACAATAAAATTATATTTTTCTAATTCATACAAGAGCTGAATCTTAAGCATTTGGCTTGAGAATTGATAGGCAGGGATAGGCTTAGCTTGATAAAATGCAGCGTTCTCAAGTTTAAAAAAATATATTATTAAAAGCATAAGGTATCTGTTACTGTACATTTGTATTATATTTACTAAGTATTAAGACACTATTAAAATAAGAGTCTAAATAATTTGGAATGTAAAGACTAAATCATTGTAGCTTTAGAGATGGTATGTATATGTTGCCTTTGGAATTTATTCTCCTTATTGTTTTTTGGATCCAGTCACTATCATGAGCAACATATTAAAGACATTTCTTCATATGGCCACCAGAGAGCATTAGTAGAAAGGGTAAGAAAATTGAAGTTTTTTTTTTTTTCTTTTTTGAAACAAGGTCTTGCTCTGTCAGCCAAGCTGGAGTGTAGTATCATGATCATAGCTCACTGCAGCCTCAGCCTCCCAAGTAGCTGGGACTACAGGCACGCACCACCATGCCCAGCTAATTTTTTGTATTTTTTTGTAGGTGGTGTCTCACTCCAATGTCCAATCTGGTCTTGAGCTCTTGGACTTAAGCTATCTTCCTGCCCTGGCCTCCCAGAGTACTAGGATTACAGTTGTGACCCCTCGCGCCCAGCGATAATTGAATTTTTTAGAAAACTACTTAACTGGGTCAGATTTTAAGACTTGTTTCCTTCTTTACTTCCTAATATTTTTGAAGTGAAGGTGTTTTATTTTTTTTCATAGTTCTCAGTACATAATTTTTTTTTACTTTTAATTATTATGAATACATGATAGCTGTACGTATCCTAGTATTTTTACATTTAAAAAGGTAAAATATTGCTGATGTTATTTTTCTTTGGGATGTTTAAGGATGAGAAATACTACTTACGGTCACTTGGAGAAGACCCTAGAAAGGTAAGAATTCTAAATGTAAAACAGTTCCCTAAAATCTAAATGGTCGTATATATGTTAACTGGCAACACTGTAATTTTTATACTTACTGCCTGACATATTCCCTGTTCTGTCCTTTTCCATTCTTTTCCCAGTGTTTTGTGCCCCTGAATAAGAAGTAAGATGATTAAAAATTGATTACTTAGTATTCAGGTAGGCCTGTAGAATCTTAGTGTTTATAGTCATCTAATCTCTATATAATAAGAAATCTCTTCTACTGTATATTTTATATATGGCGACTCAGTTAATAAAATATTAATTTGAAATAATTATTAGAATCCTGAATAGTTCATTGTATAAGTTTATAAGTTTTAACATGTATTCAGAGTCAAATTAGTATGGCTGCCATATTAAGGAGTAGTCCCTAAAATGATCAAATAAGATTATTTTTTCCATTTATGTCACCATTTAGTTGTTTACCCTCTCTTTTAGTCCCCTCCCTCAGTAGAATTCACAGGTTTTGTGTAGGTGATGACTAGTAATGTTAGTTCAAGGTGTTGACTCCTGAATATTAGAGTGAATGACAATTGTGTAATTCTTGCTTAAAGTAGAAAGAACCTTTCTATTATTGAAGCATATTGAGCTTAACAGTAGTGATACTATTAAATCTGCAATCTTGTTACACAGCCTGGTATTTTTTCATTTGAAAGATCATATATCGGCCAGGCAAGGCGGCCTCATGCCTGTAATCCCAGCCCTTTGGGAGGCTGAGGCGGGTGGATCACCTGGGGTCAGGAGTTCGAAACCAGCCTGGCCAACATGGGAAATCCTGTTTCCACTAAAAATACAAAAATTAGCTGGGTGTGGTAGGCGGTGCCTATAATCTCATCTACTTGCGGGGGAGAGAGAGAGAGAGAGATCCTGTATTGGCACATGGTCACATCATAGTATTTTAAAGTAGTGAACAAAGTTTGCTTGCCCCAGTCTGCCTTAATATCATAGGGTCTAATGTGATGTTTTCTTTTTATGTTTCTGTAAATGCAGGATGTTGCAGATATCAGAAAGCAGTTTCCTTTGTTGAAAGAAGATATTAAGTTTCCAGAATTCTTCAAAGAGGAACAATTCTTTTCCAGTGTTTTTCGAATTAGTTCACCAGGATTACAACTATGGACTCATTATGATGTATGCTACATAAATGAGAAATTTAAAGCTACAATAGATCTTTTGCATTATAGATTTAACAGTCAGTTTCAACTTCCTATAGGTTATCCTAAAGATCTGTGTAATTCACTGAAACATGACTTTTGAAAATAGGTGCTGTGCATAGCAGTGATAGAGGAATGAATTATTTTGCTAATGGCAAAATAATTGGTTCCTCACATTTGTATTTCCCTGTGGTCCTATTCTTGATTCATCATCATATATATACCAAGTTTTATGAAGTGATTTTTTTTTCCATGTGAAAAATGGCCACCAGATAATGGGGGAAACTATTGGAAAAAGCGGTAAGCTTGTAATATGAGGAGGTATAAATGATACACATGACTCTGGCCACCCAGAGATCCATAACTCTCTGGGTCATCCAGAGTTATGTTATTCAGGAAAAAGGCTGAAGCTTGTTGAGTCATTACCAATTGTAAGAATTTGGGGATGTCTGAAGATCATATATATATATATATATGCCTTGAGAATATCAAATATCTGCTGTATTTGTAGGGCAGCAAAAATGTGTACAATATTGATATTGATCAGCCGGGCGCGGTGGCTCATGCCTGTAATTCCATCACTTTGGGAGACCAAGGCGGGCAGATTACGAGGTCAGATCGAGACCATCCTGCTAACACGGTGAAACCCCGTCTCTACTAAAAATTTTAAAAATTAGCTGGGCGTCGTGGCGGGCATCTGTGGTCCCACTTACTCCGGGGGCTGAGGCAGGAGAATGGCGTGAATCCAGGAGGTGGAGCTTGCAGTGAGCCGATGGCGCCATTGCACTCCAGCCTGGGTGACAGAGTGAGATTCTGTCTCAAAAAAAAAAATTTTGATCTTGATTATTTGTGGTGTTATTTTGTTTGCTTAAGTTTATATACACATCTATAAGCATTTTAAAAACATTAAAAATACTAGTATGGTATATAGTTTGGTGTTGGGAAGTAGAGAAACTTAAGGAAGGTAAAGGAATATCTAACAAGTTTCCAAAGAAAAAAAAATTTTAAGTTATAAATCACACTATAACATTTTATACATGTGTTTTATAATTAAGTTGAGACCCTCTTGGGAGGATTTTACCATAGTCAGTAAATCTGTAATTAAATGAAATAGACATAAACTCTTAGCATATTTTGCAGTTTTATATGAATAATATGAGAAAATCATGTGGTAATACATTTTAACTATATTCTATGATGATGATGATGCTGATGATGATGATGATTGTTGTTTTTTGAGACAGAGTCTTGCTCTTTCACCCAGGCTGGAGCGCAGTGGCACAATCCCAGCTCACTGCAACCAGTCCCTTGCAGGTTCAAGCGATTCTCATATCTCAGCTACCTGGATAGCTAGGATTACAGGCATGCACAACCACACCCGTCTAATTTTATTTATTTTTAGTATAGATGGGGTTTTGCGATGTTGGCCAGGCTGGTCTCGAACTCCTGACTTCAAGTTATCCGCCCACTTCGACCTCCCAAAGTACTAGGATTACAGGCGTGAGCCACCGCACCCAGCCTCTATGATTATGTTTTAAATTTTGAGTAGTATCCTTTTACATAAATTATAGTAGAATATAATATATAAAGGTTTTATTATAAAATTAAGTCAGAGGAACGCTAAGTAAAGGGTTAGTACTAAAAGGAAGAATGCTTAGGTAGAAGTAAAAAATCATGAATATATCTTGCTTAGTGTTTATCTTAAATCCTTAGCTGAGAATTATGTGGCTCTGCCTTTAACATTTTTTCACAATCTATACCAAGAAAGTATACCATTACATTCATGGGAAAAGATTGCTCCAATAATAAATATATTAAGAAAATCTGTCATAAATCATACTGTTTGCAGAAAAGAAAAAAAAGAAAATCTGTGAGATTATATTCCTATAGAAATAATTTGAAAATCAAGATACCTGTAATGAAATTATGGATGAACATATGTAAAGAGTGTAGCAGTGGTTGCAGCAGTACCTTGTATTTTCCTAGCATCTGATTTTTCTAAGTGCTTTTACTCTGTTGTCTAATTTTGGGCTGATAGCATTGCTTAACAGATAGTAAATATTCACCAAGGGGAGCCTTAAATAGGCTTAACTATGCTGTCAGTTAATAGTGAGGCAAAGGCAAATCGTTTTCTGACTCCACATTTTCTAATTTGCCAAGTCTTCCCATTTTAGGGCAGTACTCCAGAAATGTCTTTAAGGCCCAGTTGTTTATAGAATACAAATGTTTTTATTGTTAGGTAACTGTAAGAGTTAAGTAAAATAAGTCAAGTCTCATTAAAGGATCGGGTTTGCAGTTAAAGTTTAGAGTGCCATTGGTTCTATTTATTTGAATTTTAGATAATGATTACCCATAAGCTTTTATTGGTCTTCAGGTAATGGATAATTTGTTAATACAAGTGACAGGAAAAAAGCGTGTTGTACTCTTCAGTCCTCGAGATGCCCAGTATTTATATTTAAAAGGTATGGGATTTTTCTTTAAGTTTATATTTCTGAAGTCTGTTCAGTTACTCTTTTTGAGAAATCTCTTGATTCTTATAGGAAAAGAACACTTTAGGACTTAATTGTAATTGTATTTGTGTATATATGTAATAACAGGTTCAAATTTGACATTATCTTAATTATATTACATGGGTATCGTCATCAGTATTAAAGAGTGAGTCATTGAAAATTGTCTTAGGTGTCAGTAGCATAGTAATTCTCACAGTGTGGGTACAGTAAGTAACTGGATAGAAAAGAATAAATTTTCAAATTTATATTTGTGATTACTTTTTTTAAAATGCTAACTTTGCTGAATCTATATTATCCCTTTTTGGAATTTTTTAGGTACTAAATCAGAAGTATTGAATATAGATAACCCAGACTTGGCTAAATATCCACTTTTTTCCAAGGCTAGAAGATATGAATGTTCCCTTGAAGCTGGTGATGTATTATTCATTCCTGGTAAGATTTCTAGACCTCACTAATGTGCTATTTATAAAATGTGTACTCTGTCACTCATCCTTCATGTGATTTTTTTTTTTTTTTTTTTTTTAGTACAAACATATATTTGTTATATGTATCTGGTCCTATACGAGATGATTTTTTGACAAAACTCTGTGTGTGTGTGTGTGTGTGTGTGTGTGTGTGTGTTTAAAGCAGGCCTAGGCAAACTTATAAAACAGTCCTTGCACTTTTGGCCTATAAATTAACAGGTCTTGCACTTTTGGCCTCAAGCAATCCTCCCACCCTGAACTTTGGGAGGCTAAGGTGGGAGGATTGCTTGAGGCCAAAAGTGCAAGACCAGCATGGGCAACATAGCGAGACCCTGTCTCTACAAATATAAATAAATAAATTTAGTCAGGCATGGTGGTGTGCATCTGTAAGTCCCAGCTGCTTAGGAGGCTGAGGCAGAAGGATCTCTTGGGCCCAGGAGGTTGAGGTTGAGGAGGTTGATGCCATGGCATCATGGAATCACTATACTCCACCCTGAGCAACAGAACAAGACCCTGTGTCTAAATAAACTAAATTAACAGTCTTGCTTTCAAGGGCAACCTATAAAAATAATACTATACTCTAAACTATTTTACTAAGTGACATCAAGTAAGACACTTTTTTTATGGCTTTTTTTTTTTTTTATTATTATTATTTTCCAGGTAAGACACTTTATATCTGGGAAAACATTATACTGGTTGGTTTAAAAAAAAATTTTTTTAAATAATATTATACAAATGACATCAAGTAAGACACTTTATATCTGGGAAAAGCTTATACTGATTGGTTTTGTAAATTATTTTATTTTTAAAATATTTCTGTATTTTAGAACTTTGTCACTTAAATATTTACAAAAAAAAAAGATAAATATCTTTCAAGGCCAAAACAGATGAAAGATTTCATTAAATATTAAAATGTTATAATCTCAACACCTGTAGTATCATTTGTGTACATTATTTTTCTATACAGTCTGGATTTGTGTCACTTAATTTCCTTGTTCAATTAATAGGCATTAGTTTGAAAGTCCATAAAGTTCAACACAACAAGGTAATTAACATCTGTAATTAGTACTTAAAAGTGAACTCTTGAAGATTATAAAAGTCGTAATTAAAATTAAAGGGATATGTTAACAAATTCTATTTATAATTATAGTTCCATATTTAAATTAATATATTAAGAATCATTAATACTTCTTTTCATTGATAAAAATAATATTAATAAAGATAGATATCTGATTATTTCATTTGAGACTAGATAAATTCCTTGAAGACAAAGAACTATGTTTTGTTCATCTTTGTCTTCCCCAAAATGGCCTGATATAATATAATGGTTTTCATATAATCATTTATAAAAATTTGATTGACTTTTTATTCTTATTTTCATTGAAAGCAACCCATGTATTAGTCTTCAAATCCATTGCCATCTTTTAAATTTACATTTTTGGTTTTTGTATCTCGGGAGCATGATTAAGGTCTATGTAGTTTTCCCTTATTCTTCATACAATTGTTTTAAGAAAAAAAAAAATAGAAATACTGAACATTTGCATATATTTTTAAACAAAAGCAAAATTCCTATCTTTGGGTTTAAATTCAACTGAATGGTTAGCATTTTCTTCCTATTATATTGAATAAGGGAAAAAAAAATTCTGAAAGAAAGTGTAGTTAAGATTAAAACCATGTTTGAAAATTAGTTTTCCAAATAAAATATGTTAAGCTTTTGTTTTTCCTTAAACACTCTTAGAATAAGTTTCTAAAATTTAAATCTCCCTTTCACAGGATTAAAAGGGTTTTTTCGTGATTAGTGTTCCATCTTTGTTATATTGTGGTATTGCTTTAGTATTCCTCTAGCACCTATATTCTGAAAATGTTTAGATTCACTTGAAAATAAAGTAGTAAACTTCCCAGTAAAAGGAAAAAAATTAATTAGGTATATAATAAAGTTTACTCATCATTTCCACCACCAAAATATTTGCTATAGTGTTGTATACTATTTATAAAGGAGCTGAAGGAAATATAAGACGATTATAATTGCATTCAAAATATAAAACGAGGAGGCTATAATGAATACGAATGTAAGCAAGTTAGAAAACCAAATTGCAGCTTGAACAGGAAGTCTTTAGGGACAAAAGTATTATAATGAATCAGAAAAGGTCAAAGATACTCCTCAAGTAATTGAAATGTTCTGTGTACCAAAAAATAAACACTTTGATGTGGTTCCATGACTCAGGAAGTATAAACAAGTAAAACACAGCCCTAGATTAGAGAACTGCAAAACAAATATATCTTTATTATGTCTTTCAAGTTTAAAGGAAAAATTGCTATTTCTAAAGGTTTTAAAAGTAAGGGTTGTGCTATTGACACTTTAAATTTGTTGGCAATTCATAAAAGTTAAAATGATTCTGTTAAAAGCCTAGTGTGCTAACGAAGGGATCTGGTTACAAGAATTATTTCTTACATTGGCTATATGCAATTCGTGATATTTCACTGACATTTTGGGTTTTTTTTTAACTGTAGGTTTTATTTTTAACTTGTTTTTTAAACTTTCTCCAGCTTTATGGTTCCATAATGTAATTTCTGAAGAGTTTGGAGTGGGAGTGAATATCTTTTGGAAGCACCTTCCATCTGAATGCTATGATAAGACAGATACCTATGGAAACAAAGATCCTACAGCAGCATCAAGAGCTGCACAAATTTTGGACAGAGCCTTGAAAACACTGGCCGAATTACCAGAGGAATATAGGGACTTCTATGCACGACGAATGGTCCTACACATTCAAGACAAAGCCTACAGCAAGAACTCTGAGTAAATAATGAAGTGAATGCAATGTACATCAACACTTTAGTAAGGTATAACGATATAAATTATTTTGTTAAAATAGGAAAGATACATCAGATTTACAGATTATGTAAGTATGAAGGGGTATTTGTGTGCATTCTACTTGATACAGATTGTTATAATTAAAGAATGCTATGCTCGGACCACTATTTAACATTCAGATGCTGACCACTAAAAGTCCAACTTAAAATGACTTAAAAACAGTAAGAAAATATATTGAATCACAATACGTGAAATCTATTGACAGAATGGGCTGCAGTGTTTCTGATCCAGTGATTCAGTAATGTCATCAAGAACCTTGGGAGCCCGTCTCCACACCCCACCCCCTTTTCAACCACAACATTGGCATCATCCTAAGGCTGGCTACCCTCGTGGTCATGGGATGATTGCCAGTAGCAGTTGGAGCCTTGTGCATCTTCATTTACATGCAGCGGAAGAGTCAGGCTGGATTCCAGGGGCCCCGTCCTAATATGAGAAAGCTTTCCCAGAATTCATTTTCCATATCCTTAGATCTCATTGCTCTAAAGTAACTTAGACCTGTCCATCCCTAAGCCAGTCACTGGCAAAGAGTCTGGAATAACCTTTACAGCAGTCAGGTCCACTGGAGCTGAGAGTAGAAGTGGAGACCACATGAGGGATATATGGGGGCAGAAAGGATAGTTTTTTTAAAAATCTTGGTTCTGATAGGAAAAACATGAGCAACCAACAATATTTATTACATTTGCCTAGAAGCAGAATTTTTTGAGGAACTTTAAAAAATGTACAGATACCTAGGTCCCAACTTTGTAGACGGATTCGTGTTTGGGATTTGGTATAGGAACTTAGTAGACCTCATAGGGTGTTTTGATGCATAATCAGAGCTGAGATCAACTGAACTTGATGATAGTGACTTGGATTATTAGTTTTGTGATTAGTCCAAAACAAATGTTTAATCTGATCTTGACTTTTCTTGCCACCCAGTATGTCAGGTCTGTCTTTTTTTTGGTTTTCGAGTGTTAGAAAATAAATGTTTTAATTTATACTTATGTCTAAACCTTAGCCTAATTAAAGATTTCCCAACTTTTTTCTCCACTTATCCCTTTTTTAAAAGAAAAAATTACTTAAAGAATGAATAAATGAGATCCTAAAAGTGTTGTCATTGAAGACAGTGAGCCATTGTGTGTGGATCTCTGCTTTTCTTTTTGTACCTAGTAATTATATTGCAGTGTCATTGAAGACCAGATAATCTTCGCTGAACATAAATGTGTTCATCTAAAGCAATCTCTTAGTACATCAATTTGGTGCATTTTAATTAGAGAAAATCATTTTCTCTATTGAAGAGAATCCATCCACTCATGTCCTATAAATTATAGTAAATAAGAAAGGAAAAGCATATAAAACATTCTGAATTTCCTAGGTGTCTTTGGAAACAGGTCAAGTTACTCAGGTGAATAAAAGTGAAAAAAGTCTTGTCAGAAAAGGAGTGATTATATTAGGCAAATTTAATTACCACATTTTGATCTTCATTAAGCAAAGCAAAGAACTTCTTTAATGATTCCTTGTCCTTCAGTAAGGAAAAAGACAAAACTCTCCTTAGTTTACACAGTATTTATGGTTTTTAATAAATCTTGTTTTTATCTTAACCAGCAAGATAATTGATACAAAGTATAAATCCAGTCATGTAGAAAACTTGGAAGTATCAATAAAACAGTCTGTGCGCTGAATATTCATCTCAATTGATTGTTTAATGGAGAAGCAAACTGTATGACCTGAGACAAAATAACATTTATCTATGAACCTTATTTTCCTCATCTTTAAAACAGAACTACAAAAATGCAGATAGATAGTTCAAGGGCAGGCACATAGTTGATGACTGGTGCTAGTTCTTCTATTTAATTATATTCTTTCTTTGCTGAGAGATTTGAGGTAGCTCTTGTTGCAGTATTAATTTTTATTTAGAAAGTTAGAGAACTTTCCTTTGGGATGTTTTAAAATTATTTCCCTGGTCATAATTTTTAATATTAGGGTCTGTTTATTTCAAATACAAAATAATCTTTTTTTCCTACTGGGTTAACCAAATGAGATGTTTGTTTTTAACGTATAAAATATTATACAGTGTATGTTAGCGCAACTTCTCAGGATTTCTGAATCTTAGAACTTTTTTATTGAAAGAGATCTTAGAAGCCATCTAACCAACCCAGATTGCTTAATGATTGTCTGGGCTCACATAGCTATGGGTGATAGAAACTGGGATTAGTTGTGAGCAGTAACTCTCCATTCTTTCTCCCTAATGTGCAGCACCTCTCCAGTACTTCTGAATACATTACACAGCTTTTCTTTGACTAGTCTGGGGGCTTGACCTGATGCAAAATGGAATTTTTTTCCTCTGCCAACAAAATTTCTCACAGCACTGCTTGCTACACAGACAAGATTCAAAATAAAAGTAATGATGGGTCAGGTGCGGTGGCTCATGCCTGTGTAATCCCAGCACTTTGGGAGGCCAAGGCGGGCAGATCACGAGGTCAGGAGATCAAGACCATCCTGGCCAACATGGTGAAACTCCATCTCTACTAATAATACAAGAATTAAATATGTTACATGAAAAACATATTTGAAACTGTACTGTCATTTGTGTAAAACAAGGTACGTGGTGTGTGAACACCTTATTTGCATATGCATATAATTATCTCTAAGGATGCACAAGAAACCAGTGATAGTTACGCCTCTAAGAAGAGGTTCAACTAGGTGGGCCGATTGGAATCTGCAGTTTTGTATTATTTGGACTTTTGTTTACATTATCCTTTCAAAATACGTTGTAAAAACACTATATGCATTGAGGTGGGCGCATCATCTGAACTCGAGTTCGAGACCAGCCTGGGCAATGTGGCGAATCTTTGTCTCTACTAAAAATACAAAAAATTAGCCGGGTGTGGTGGTGTGCGCCTGTAGTCCCAGCTACTCAGGAGGCTAAGATAGGAGGATCACTTGAGCCTGGGAGGTGCAGGTTGCAGTGAGCTGGAATTGTGCTACTGCACTCCAGCGTGGGTGACAGAGTAAGACCCTGTCTCAAAAAAAAAAAAAAAGAAGACTATATGCAGAGCTGGGAGTGGTGGTCCACACCTGTAGTCCCAGCAACTTGGGAGGCTGAGGCAGGAGGAGCACTTGAAACCAGGAGTTCAAGTTCTTCTGTCTCAAAACAAAACTTAGCAGAGTATAATTATTAGCATTTCCATAATATTATTTGTCTTGGTATTTGAATACATTAGAATTCTATTTGTTCTGTAATTAATTTCTAACTCACTTTGATGAAATACCAAGTCAAAGGAAACAAAGTCAACAAAACTTACTTTGTATCCTTCATCCTTTTGAACAGCAGCTATGTGAACATTTGGAAAGAACCTTAGTAAGGCGGCTTTTCTATCACCTATAAAAAGTTGCCAACAGACATCAAAGGAGTTGACAAAAAAAAAAAAAAATGCAGGAAGCTGGAAGGCAGGCCTGGATGGAATTGGAACTGTGCTGCTGTGACTCCTTTCCCCAGTGCTAAAAAATAGATGTAGTCAGGAGGAACTAACATAGATTGGCAGTCACCCATGCATCTCTGGTGTTACCTTAGTCTTGTTTCAAGCATACAAGCCACAAGTTTTTGGGTGTCTTAAACATACCTAAGTTGTAGTCCTCTCTTTTTTTTTAACTATAACTTCTAGGGTACATGTGCACAACGTGCAGGTTTGTTACATATGTATACATGTGCCATTTTGGTGTGCTGTACCCGTTAACTTGTCATTTACATTAGGTGTATCTCCTAATGCTATCCCTACCCCCTCTGCCCACCCCACGACAGGCCCCAGTGTGTGATGTAGTCTTTTTAAGTTCCATTAAACAGGATACTAAAATGACCTTTTTTGGTGACTCTGCCTGGCTCTACCACTAACTGGCTTAAAAGCTGCTGGGTCTCTGCCTTTGTAAAGAGCACATGAGTTTACAGATGAGGTCTGTCTATATCTCCTCTTATGTTTGTTTCTCTTAAAGACCTTCAAGTGAAATAAAACAAAATAGCTCTTTTATGAATACTACCTTTTGTTTTGTATTTTACCTCATAAGCTTTAATGTATTAAAAACATTTCTATACCAACATGCTGGGACTTTGTATTGTCTGTCCTATATCCTTATTGCCTACCCTCCTTGACCTTGGTGGTTACTTAGATTACATGAATGAAATGAAAAATAGATTACACCATACCCTAACCAAGTCTTGTAAGAAGCTAAAGGACTACAGAACTACAGATCACTGAGATGATTAGCACCAAAAGGAGAAAAGGATGAACTTGTTAGAGGTTTTGTTCTCTATGAAATCCAATAAAAGAAGTGGATATAGTGCAAATTTTTATGGAGCAATTTTAAAGGGAGAAGATATGTATTTGTACAAAAAAGGTTCAAAGTTGCTCATTTGAAAAGACATGGAGGATAATGAAAAGACATAGGAGTAAGTCCTCACTTAATGTGCACAAGTTCTTAAGAAACTGTGACTTTAAACAAAAGGACAAACAGCAGGTCCTCAACATTTTGTTCATTGTCATCTAGTTAAAACAATGAGAAAAAAAATTAGTTTTGTTATATTGCTTCAAGTCCCAGTTTCCAAGAACCTACTGATATGTTAAGTGAGGACTTACTATATACAAACCCAACCTAGCAGGGTAGACAGAAATGGCTTCCTTTTAAATAATCTGAAGTTTTAACAATGCTAATAATATAAAGCACATCCAAACAAACTTCTGTGGATGATCAATTTTAATACAATTATACATTCATGCTGTGGTGGTAACAACTTTCACATTATTTGTAGGACTACTTTTCTCAACTCATGACAAAGGCACAAACCAAAAGTATAAATTAACATTACAATAAGTTTTACATGTGGACAAAGGACCAATCTGAAATATTAAATAGAAAATATCTGAATATGGATCAATTTGAACATATTTTCATTCCAGAAAATATTTTTTCTTTTCAATATTGTCTCATTTTGCTATGATGGCAGTTTTGGGTGCCTGGTGAGTTACTCTTAATATCCATTCAACATGTAACATTTATAATTAAGCATTCACATACTGGATAGACAAAGAACCCAGATTTTTAAATACGTCTGATTTTTTAAAAATTATTTTATTTTTAAATGAATTCTGCTAAATGTCTTACTTTTCCATTTCAGTTAATCATGTGAAAATAAATGCTTTTTCTTCCCCTTATAGAATTCAGTAACTCAGCTACTTTACTTTAGATACGTGTGAATTTAACCAAGGATTATTAAACAAATAGAAACAAAGCCATCCAATCATAGTGCTTAAAGGCAATGTAATATGTAAAATGTTAAAATCAGGCTGATTTATTTCCTTCATGGGAATTTTTGGTCTCAAAAGAAACAGGAGGTATTTAAAGAAACTGAAGCAACATACTACTACTTTGTCTTTAAAAAAAAAAAAAAACCATTTAGCGATGCTGTTCTGCAGTTTATAAAATTAAGTGTTAAAACACCAAAAAGATGTTATTTTTAAGCATTTGTTAAGAATCCTTTCTCATGAGTCTCTGAATATTTGGAATGTATTTATAGAGTTATTAAAATATAATTCTGGGAAGAAACCAAGAAATTAACATTTTTATTCTATATGGCTTTATAAATCTAGGTCTTCTGGGTCATTAAGGTATTAAGCTTCAGTGTCTTTTTTTTTTTTTTTAGTCCTAAAGCAGCATGTTACTTCCCTGCTATTTCATGACCTGCAAAAGCTAATTATTAATAAACAACAAACTGCTCACCTTTTATTGTAATCACCCAATTACAATGTCAATGTTGGTTGACATTCATTAGATCTGGGTTTCTCAAAGTGTATTTATCTAGGTCAAGAAAAACGGGCAGAAGGAAACTTCACCCAAATTATGTAGCAGTGTTAAGCAAATTCAGTTTTTGAGCCAAAATTAAATCATTTGTGTCTTCAAACTTTCCCTTGTAACTTTTCTTATAGCAGTGTAATTTTGCATTTTGGCCAAAGAGAGCTATTTTCTTTTGGCAGACAAAATCATGCTTCTG